AGACATATATAGATTATCCATATATATTATTGAATATATATAATTCAGTGTATGTATTCAGTATATGTATTAAGTAATATCTAGACATAATTGATAGGTAACAATATATAGATTTTTGTATGTAAGCATATACATATTATACATAATCTATAGATAATATACTTTAATAGAGGTATTCAGTATGTATTCAATAATATCTATAAATACAGATATTTAGATATAGATACATCTGCATTTATTATCCACAGATAATATCTATAAATAATACAGAATTACATATATAATACTGGTACGTTTTAATCTGTACATATATTTTAATTATAATATGTATATACACAATATATGAAATATGTGTGTGTGGGAGTGGTGCACATATGCATATATATATGAAATAAGATCCAGGGCTTGTATCCTGATTGGTAGTATTTTATAGGATTTCTTCCTTGTTTTCGATGTCAAAAGCAAAATGAATACATCTCCTGTCACTAAGCATTCCCCTGATACTGCGTGTCTCTGGGGATTATGGATACAGCAAGTAAATGCTTGGTCTCTGATTCCTGTTCTATTTCCTTCAGTCAGCAGTTCTGGGTGTTTCTGTCCTGTAGACTTGGGAGCTTTCAGGAGGCTTTTTTCCAGCTGTGTTTTCCAAAGAAGACTTCACGGAACCTCTTTGAAGGGACACATGATAAGCTCATGAGTGGGTAAAATAAGCTCCCAAGAGCCATCAGGACTACAGACCCCATGGATTGTGGTGTGGAGCATCCTGGTGCCTTCCCAGAGCTGCTGCACTGGGAGGAAGAGGAGGAGGAGGCGCATGATAAGCTCAGTACTGGGCAAAATAGGATCCCAAGAGCCATCAGCACTACAGACCCCATGGATTGTGGGGTGGAGCATCCTGGTGTCCTCCCAGAGCTGCTTCACTGGGAGGAAGAGGAGGAGGAGGAGGGCTGGAGCTGGGTTGGGTCTTGTTGTCACTGCCACAGTGGTGTTTTGCTATATTACGATACCTTTTATAGAATTGTACAATAGTTGGGGTTGGAAGGGACCTTTAATGGTCACCCGGTCCAACCCCCTTGCCATGAGCAGGGACACCTTCCACTGGACCAGGTTGCTCCAAGCCTCATCCAGCCTGGACCTGGTCCAGTGTTTCTACACCCTCACTGTAAAAAATTTCTTCCTTTTCTCTGGTCTGAATCTCCCCTCTTTTACTTCAAAACCATCACCCCTTGTCCTGTCGCTACAGGCCCTGCTAAAAAGTCTGTCCCCATCTTTCTTACAAGCCCCCTTTAAGCATTGAAAGACCGTAGTAAAGCTTTTCCAGAGCCTTCTCTGCTCCAGGCTGAACCCCCCAACTCTCCCAGCCTGTCCCCACGTCAGCGGGGCTCCAGCCCTCGGAGCATCACCGTGGCCTCCTCTGGACTCTCCGTGTCTCTCCTGTGCTGGGGACCCCAGAGCTGATGCAGTGCTTGAGGTGGGGTCTCAGCAGAGCGGAGCAGAGGGGGAGAATCCCCTCCCTCGCCCTGCTGACCATCAGTTACTTGATATAATCTTTATTGGCTACATTAGGGTACTGATACGGCCACGAGACCTTTCTCCACCTCCTGCAGCCAAGGGTGGTGGCACCCTTGGACGCGCAGAGGTTTGCTCTGAGCCGGTCCGTGGGTTGGCCTGATGTCCCTCCTGCCATCAGTACCTACAGACAACGATGCCACAGCTACGTCTCTTTGCAAATAACCTTATCTTGTTAAAATTAAGACTTGATGCTCCTCTCCCAGCAGTTTCATGAGGACCAAGCCCTGGGGAAAGTGGAACCAGGACAGCAGCTCCTTTGTGCAATCCCCATCCCCTCTGTAAAAACCAGGCAGCGATTCTCCGAGCTCGGTAGCCACTGGCAACAGCCTGATGAAATGAATAGGCTGTCATGCTAAGCACTAAGAAATGTAACTATTACATTTTACAATTCTCTTTTTCTTTGCGGCACATGTTCATTTAAAGGTAATGCTCTCCGGGGTTTGCATTCTGCTGATAGGGTAGCGGGATCTTAATTTACAGATATTCTCCAGTAATGCGTGCTTTATATACGTTCTGCTAATAGCATTATGAGCATAGTTTGGACTAATACAAAATTAGAGCTCTAATTTGCATAAACAAATTACTGTTTGGATTAGCGCTAAATGAGGAAGACGACTGATATTTGAGGAGATTTGATTTGGCTGCAACGACTCTGTTTGTATAACGACGGATGTAAGAAAACGAGCTGGGTGGCTCCGTGTGGGTTGGGAGGGAGGTGGGATGGTGCAGCAGATACTGTCAAACAGAGCAGGTTTTGGTGGCAGATGAGCCTCTCGGGGACGTATTTGTCCCTAGGGTGCCCCTTCAGAGCTTACTAATCCTTCAGAATCAATGTGGGCAGCGCTAACTGGATCGCAGCTCCTGACCTCTCACTGTCCCGCAGCCTCACTGCGGGATTTGGAGATGTAGGGGAGAGATGGAGAGTTGGAGAAGGGTCCCCAACCCTACTCACTTGACCCTGCTTGGATCCCAGCATCCGCTCCAGGCAATAGATCCGGGACAGCAGCACTCTTGGGTGACTCGGCCCATGCAAGGATGTAGCAAAACACTTGCAAGAGCCAGATTTGGGGGGGAGAAATAATAATAATGTCAAAATTACCGTACCTAATAATAATAATAATGATACTCAAAGCTTGTAGAGCTCCGTGAAACTTGGCTAAGCTCAGGTAAGGTCCCACATGGCCAGCTTCCTCGTGGCATTGCATCCACATTTCTCTCTCTGTTTTCTGCTGGGGTTGGAGGTACAAGCCAAGGGTGTGAGATGGGGCATCAGCCCTGGCTGCGTGGGCTCACCTGGATCCCGTTTCAGATGCACCAGGCTGCCCGTTAAGAAGTACAGGCGAGCAGTGTGGGTTGAAGCCGTGCTGTGCACGAGGCGTTGGGAGGGATGACAAGTGTCTACAGAGTTTTAGGGACAAACACCATTGCTGTGTCCTAGCAGGCCGTGGTTGAGTGGGGGCCTGACCTTCAGCACATGGTGTCTTCCTCTGTTGCATTGTGCTGGGCGAGCTGGGGGAAAGAAATGGCTTTTTGTTGCACGTGGGAAGCGGTACCAGATGGAGAGTCCTTGGGGTTTGTTGGTTTTGGTGTAAATCACAGGGAATCGGAGCTTTTCCTCTGTCTACAGCAAGAGCATCCCTGGTTCCTTCCTGCATCACCTCCATCCTCAGGCAGCTGAGTGTCTGCTCATGAAGCAGCAGCTCCTTACAATATCTTCCCTAGTTTGGGCTTACCTTGACTTTATCATTTCCTTGCAGATCCCTGCTGGCAAGCCAGACGCGCCCGTTGCCTCAAGGTGGCAAGTCCCCACACGTGCAACAGAGATGGAGGAGCAAAGGCTATCGCTGCATCGGCGGGGTGATGTACCGAGTGTCGGCGAATAAACTCTCCAAGACTTCCAGCACCCCTGGCCGGGGCAGAGACCTGAGCACCAAGAGCCCCGGCAGAGCAGGTGAGCAGCAAGAATTTGTGCTGGTCTGCATCCAAAATCCAGTGATATCCCGGCTTTGGCACCGAGGTTTGTTCTTAGCTGCTTATTCCCAGCCCATGTGTTGGAACTCATCCTCTGGCCTCACAGGAGCCCAGACGCAAAGGCGATGGGCAACCCATCGTTGCCAGAGCGCATCCCCCAGCTCTTCTTGCTTTACAGTAGGACTGAAGGGAAAATACTGTAGAAGAAATGAAAGGTTTAAGAAAATTGAAGTTTTTCTTAACTCAGGTTTTGTTCAAGCTTGTAGAGATGTGCTGTTAAACTTGTTTCTTTTTTTAACTGGAGCAAAGTCTTGGGCAGCTTCAGATGGCACCTCAAGGTTAAACGTGTTGGAGACGCTCATCAAATGGCATTCAGTATTGACTTAAGAAAGCTGGAGAACTATAAAACAAGCATTTTGACACTGTTACCGGCTTTACGTTTAGCTTCAGTTAAACCTGTGTTTGAGCTCTTCTACTTCATGCCTCAAGTGTGGCACTTCGGCAAGACCAGGTTTTTTAACTGTGATGATAGTATTTCTTTGAGTTTCTACTTGGAGTCAAATAGTTTTGCTCCATAACTGCTTTATGGACAAATTTGGGGGACAGTTAAGCTGGGAAAGGCAAAGCCAATGGTTTGAGTTGGAAGGGACCATAAAGACCATCTAGTTCCAACTCCCCTGCCATGGGCAGGGGCACCTTCCACTAGACCAGGTTGCTCCAAGCCTCATCCAGCCTGGCCTTGGACACTTCCAGGGATGGGGCATCCACAGCTTCTCTGGGCAACCTGTTCCAGTGCTTCACCACACTCTCCGGGAAGAATTTCTTCCTGATATCCAATCTAAACCTCCCCACTTTCAATTTAAATCTGTTACCCCTTGTCCTGTCACTACAGGCCCTTGTAAAAAGTCCCCCCCAGCTTCCTTGTAGCCCCTTCAGGTACTGGAAAGTGCTCTAAGGCCTCCCCAGAGCCTCCTCTTTTCCAGGCTGAACAAATGCCGAAGGCATTTTACATACAGTGGGAAAGTGGATGAAGAGAGGCAATAAAACAGCACAGTGTTGTTCAGAGGTGCAGCGTCGGAAACTGCCTGCACCCCGATGCGTGGTGGGGTGTCCTGGGTAGTTCTAAACCCACAACAGGGATTAGGGAAGGAAGGAACTTTGTTCAGGCACAAAAATCCCATCAACAAGAGAGCTGAGCAGGTCTGGGAAGTTGGAAAAACATGAGGAAAATTAGGAGCAAACAACAACATCTCATTAAAGAGTAAGTAACTCCCCACCCCCAAAGCTCGCTCGCAGCCGGTAAGTGGTGTTGGAGAGAAAATGGAGAGGGGAAAATGAGGGGCAGGCAGAAAAGGGACAGCCGACGATGCTAAATCCTTGCTGCACATCATCGCTGGTGGGGAGGGGGGCAGAGATTTAGCTTAAACCATGGATTAGCTGCCTGGGAAATGAAGATGCCTGCAGACGGTGACAGAGGTAGGAGGATGCTGCAGTGGCCAAAGAGGCACGGAGCCGATGGAGCGTCGCTTTCAGGTAATATCCCTTCTGAGAGCGTTAAAGGGATGCTCGGGAGTGGTTTGGGGACTGTTTCCCGGTGTTTTTGCAACTCAGCTCTGCTCAGGACAGATTTTTGGTGGCTGACTAGCCTGCAACATGCTCCTCGCTGCTGGCTCTGCAAATCGGCGCCTGCACGCGCGTGAGCCCGCGTCCATATGGCTGGTTTTGAAGCCTGTGATTCTACCTGTGAGCCGTTAAATCCTTGGCTTTGGTGCTGTGTCTGGAGGAGGGCGGGCAAGGATCAGACTTCTGAGGTGTGGAAATAAAGGCTATAAAGGGGTTTGTAGACCAAACAAATCCTGGTGTCAGCGATGTCAGATTTTTTCAAGAGCTTTGCTAGCAGCAGCAGGATTTTCCAAAGTGTCTCAACCAAACCAGCTCAAGGGTGTTTCTGTCATGAGCACCATCCCTGGGCATTGAAGCTGTCACTGAAGGCAGCAAACATCTTACCAGAGTACAAGAAAAGGGGTGAAACCCCCAAGACCTGGGCAGGGAAGATGCTAGCTGGAGCAGGTCCGGTTCTGGTGTCATGTTTGAGGTTGGAGTTGAACGACTGGGAAGGGTCCAGGGGAGAAGTGATGCCTGGATGGATTGGAAATGTGGAGGACCTGGGTCTGTGCATTCTGAAGAGGAGGAGATGGAGGTGTTGCAGGTCTTGGAGTTCCTAAAGAGCTGCCAAGCAAATGAAGGATGTGTTCTCCATGGCCAGGCAGAGCAGCCAAAACCCAAGGGGCTCAAACTGTATCAGGAAGGGCCCAGAGAGATGAAGTGCTGGAGTAAGTTGGCTGGGTTGGCTCTGAAATCTCTGTTATTGGGGTTTTTTTAAAGAACAGGTTACATGAACTTCTGTTTGGGGAGGACAAAGGTGCTTCTTGCAGCAAGGAGGTAGCCTTGACTCCAACTGCCCAATTTCCAGTCCATGCATTGGTGACTTGAATTTGGCTGCTGGGAGATGGTTGGGAGGACTTAACTTCCCACCACCGTGCTTGTATCACTAATTCTGCTGCTGTTTGGAGGACCAGCTTTTTCCAAGCCCGAATCTTGTGCATTCTGTATTTAAAATGCCCTTTCCAGATAATTTTTTTGTCATTTATCTGAGTGCAAGAAAGTCTCTGAATTTGTCTGGCCAACGGGAAACAGCAAAGTCCTGCGTAGGCAGCTCAGTAAGGGCTGATGGATTCATCCTGTCCGTGAATATCCACCCCTGGGCTGGGACCAAACGGAGAAACATCAGTCCAGAGTGCAATTTCATAGAATCACAGGATCACAGAGCAGTTTGGGTTGGAAGGAACCTTAAAGACCATCCAGTTCCAACCCCCCTGCCATGGGCAGGGACACCTTCCACTAGACCAGGTTGCTCCAAGCCTCATCCAGCCTGGCCTTGGATACTTCCAGGGATGGGGCATCCACAGCTTCTCTGGGCAACCTGTCCCAGGGCCTCCCCACCCTCTCCGGGAAGAATTTCTTCCTGATACTTAAATTCTGGGAAAGGAATTGAGCCAAAGGTTTGATGGGAAGATATTTTGCAAATTCAAGTATTGACATTGCTCTTGTGTTTTTCCTGGGGATTTTGGATATGTGGAAGGAAACAGCAAAGATTTTCAAGCGGTTTAGTTTGCAGAGGTAACCTAAAGCAGCTTTAGAAAGCAAAGAATCGGTAACAGGCAGGGGGTGAGCGTGCACCAGCAAGCACTGGAGTTTTGCAAATACTTTCCCCCCCTTTTTGGTGTCTATTTTAAAATAACAAGATTTTCACAGAGATGTGAAGGTGACTCAGCAGATCAGAGCTGCTGGATGGTGATGGGGAGGGACCTGTTCCCTGTTGTGGCTTTATCGAGGGTGACAGGGCACGGAAGAGATGTGATATCCCCCCCACCCCATCTTTCCTTCCCCAGTGGTACTGTGTCATTTAGTGAGGTCCTGTTTGTGGAAACAGGTTTAATCATAGAATCTCAGAATGGTTTGGGTTGGAACAGACCTTAAAGATCATCCAGTTCCAACCCCCCTGCCATGGGCAGGGACACCTTCCACTAGACCAGGTTGCTCCAAGCCTCATCCAGCCTGGCCTTGGACACTTCCAGGGATGGGGCATCCACAGCTTCTCTGGGCAACCTGTTCCAGGTTTGGCCCCAGCTTCCAGGTCCCTCCTGGGGACAGAAGGTCCCTTCCAGGGCTATTTTTTATAAAAGACAGACCCATCTATATATATTTTCTATTATATTATTTCTTTTGCTGTAGTCTGCTTCCCCCTGCCACACAGCACGTTGGGTTTGTAACCATAAAGCCCTGGTAACTGGTGTGTGTCAGTATTCTCGTGTCATCTTTCAGCTCTCACTGTAATTCATCCTCCTTCGCAGGGACGGATTCAACACACACCAGCCTCTCTCGCTTTACGATAACTGGGGCTGGCGGGGCGGAAGATTTGTGTGCGCTCACCGGGTACGAGCCTTCACACGTTTACCGAACGCTCTGTGTTTTCAACACTTGACAAAGTTTATTTAAAAGGTGAAAAAACCCCCAGCTTTTCCTTTCCCTTCCAGTGCCAGACGCTGTGTGTTTGGGGTAGCAGAGAGATGGGAAATGCTCCTGACAGTTTAATAGCTTGGAGTTTACTTACGGTGGGTTATAATTCTGCTGTTTGCCTGAATTTATTGGGTTGGTATTTTGTCTCTTCGTGGCCCGACTACAATAAGAAACGCGGCGCTAGTTGCTGCGGCTGATCCATCCGTGCCGTCGTACTAACCCTGCCAGGCCTGTGGGATGGGCAGTGCTGGTGGTAAGTTAAATTTGGTCCTAGGAATGCACCTCCTGCAGCCCTGCGCTGTATGGGGGGTCAATCCTGGGGCTACCCAGGATACAGCAACTCATCCATCTCCCTGGAGTAAAACCCGGAGGGGTTTTGCCACAGCTCATCCACAACTCACTGCATTACCAGTGGTGCAGCATCGGGAACATCCCGGCTTGGGGACAGGGAAAACATCACTGCAAACCCAGGAAAAGTTTCTGATGGTGTTTTCAGCATGAAGAAGCCGTCTGGAGTGATTCGTGGGTTTGGGCATCACAGTGGTCCATGCAGCTGCTGAGAACTGTGCTCTCATCGCATGTGTGAGACTGCTCCCAGAGGGTTTACTGCGAGTTCTGTGCTCGTCTCCTGAACGCCACAGATGAGTTACAGAAATAAAAAGACTTTTCGCTTTCCCGGCCAGCTGGTGAGCTCAGATGTCCCATAACTCAGGCGCTCAGGCAAGGATGGAAAAGGCTCGGAAGGAGACATCTAGCTGCAGACACGGGGCTCGGACATGCGCTTCACATCCCCTTGCAGGACAGAGATGCAGTGTCAAACATGAAAAAGCTCCTTACCCCTGGGATAACTAGGATTTCTACAACTCTTTATTTTTCATTTTGCAGAAATAGTAGAAAATA